AATTCAGTAGTTCAAACACTCAAGACAACAGTAGACTTAAATCTCTCTCGGGGAAAATGAGCTATAAACCTTGAATTTATACTGGACGCCTCCTTAATAAAAGATCTTATCAACGTTCTGAGCCTAATTCAACAGCAGGAATCTGGGGATGAAATATATTCATCTTGGCTGAGAGAATTTTTTTTAGAATCTTGTTGCAGAAAATATTTATACTTTCTGAAAATTTAGTTTTAACAGGATAGAGTTCAAAATTCTTTAACATTCTTACAATTCTCACTAGATTTGGGTAGATCATTTTAAAGTGAAGATATGGTAGTATCTGAACAATCACATATTACCTCTTTTATTAGTAGTTTTCTCTTGATACCACAGCTGTTAATTGCAACATGTATAGGAAAAATAAGCTCAAAACTAAAGAAAATTTCTAAAAATATGTCCTACTGGTGAAACAATGTTGAGTAAAGATTGTTGCTACTGTTAACGTCGGTGTCAGATCAAATAAGAGAGGTGGGATCTACTGACCGTGAAGATCCTAGCATCAGTGGTGTATCCTGGTTTTGTGCTGCCCTAGGCAGGACAAAACTCAGGCGCCCCCGCCCCACTGCGCCAGCACCACCCAACCCTTCCCCCCGCCTTCTAAATACACACACACACATTCACTGACAGATACGCATACACACACTAACAGACACACACACTCTAACAGACACACACACACCGACAGTCACACACACTAACAGACACACACATACACACACACACACACTAACAGACACACACACACAGTCAGACACACACTCACACACTAACAGACACACAGACACACACACACACTAACAGACACACACACTAACAGACACACAGACACACACACACTAACAGACACACAGTCAGACACACACATTAACACACACACACACACTAACAGACACACACACACAGTCAGACACACACATACACACTAACAGACACAAACTGTCAGACACACACACACTAACAGACACACACACATACTGACAGACACACACAATCAGACACACACATACACACTAACAGACACACACAGTCAGACACACACTAACAGACACACACTAACTCACTAGCAAACACAATCACACAGTCAGACACACACACACACACACACACTAACAAACACACACACATTAACAGACACACACACACTCACATTAACACATTTATTTTTATTTTTTTAATTTACCCCCCCCCCCTCCTTACCTTTGGGAATGCTGGGGGGGAGGGGTTTCTCTATCTCCCTGGTGGTCCAGTGGCTGTGGGCGGCGCTGGGCGGGCGGCTGCTGGCGAGGGAGCTCTTCCTCTGAGCTGTGAACACCCACCTCCGGCCAGCCACCACTACTCCCTAACTCTTTGCCAGCGTCTGAACGGAGTGATGTCACACCACGTGTTAGTACTGGCTGCGGTGTTACGATAGCTACTCCAGCTCAGGAACAGTTGTTGCTATGGATGGAGATTGAGGTCAAATCTGCTCTCCATGTCTCAATTCCTCTGCTCTGAGTTATGTTAGCTTTTTCATATGCGCTGGTTTTGGGCATATACAGTACACAATTTTTATGAATTGCAAGAGACAAAATTATAAACAAACAAACAAACCTGGTGTAGTGGTAGAGTCATGTCCCACAATTCAGGTTTTGGTTCTGAATTGTCTACCGGATAGTCAGGAAAACTGGCAAACCTAGGTATTGCATTTAGTAGACCCAGCATTTAAAAATACACAGGGGCGTACCTTGGTTCTGAATTGTCTACCGGATAGTCAGGAAAACTGGCAAACCTAGGTATTGCATTTAGTAGACCCAGCATTTAAAAATACACAGGGGCGTACCTAGAGCATTTGACACCCGGGGCGGATCCTGTGCTTGGCACCCCCTCGTCCCCCCAAAAAAACCTGTAAAAAATTTTTTACATGTTTTTTTTTTTTTTTACAATTTGTAAACTTTGCAAAACCGCTGTCAGCCCCTCCTACAAAACCCTTGTCCTGCCCCACCCCTCCTATAAAACCCCTGTCCTGCCCACTTCTACAAATCCTGTACAGGGTTTTGGAACACAACCAATAAACACATACAATACGTTCAGACACTCCCACACAAAATCCTCCCCTCTGCCTGTGATTCAATTACCTTACACAATGGGTGATGCAATTATCACAAACAGAGAAATACAGTTTTTCCACATTATTCATAACTTTAAAAGTATGCATCACATTCACACAAACATTTTCAGAATCAGCATACTCCAAATACAAACATACGTCAAAATCATACAAATTGGTCCAGTGGTTCAAAAGATAGATCGTAGTCCTTTGTGACCAAAGGAAGCATGGCTTTTCTGCCCAAAACCAGTTCCACATAGTCTTCTGTCCTGGAGATAATTGTAAAGTAATCCAATTATCTCCAAGGACAGAGGCAAAACTATATTGAACACATGGCAGCAAAAGACAATAAAACACATAAAAACATATAACTGTGCAGCCATTGCACAAAACAGGTCCATTCAACATATCCCCCAGATAGCTCAGATCTGAGCGCACATTATTACTGAATGGCGCTCAGAGCACACACATACAGTTCAATTGCCATGGAGCCAAAGTCTTTCCCATAGTCTTTCATTATATGAATGGGCTCCATGGCATAGCTATATGGGGTATCACTGCTTAAACAGGGCAAGCACCAAACGACCCGGCTTTCATGTCTATGCAGGGGAAAATCCAGCGTTTAAACATGGGGCCATAGTCTAAAGGCAGCAGGCGGGCAACCAGGCTCCTCCAATGCACAGTGGCGAGATTGGTCTCGTCACACTGTTTGACTCAGAACAGCAAACTACCTGCTGACATCATAAGAAGTGGTGGCCTGATCCAATCACAATGCTTCTCCATAGGATTGTCTGAGACTGACAAGGAGGCAGATCAGGGGCAGAGGCAGCACAATTCAAACACAGCCCTGGCCAATCAGCATCTCCTCATAGAGATGAATTAAATCAATGAATCTCTATGAGGAAAGTTCAGTGTCTGCATGCAGAGGGCGGAGATACTAAATGTTTGGATGCATTTTAGGCAGCCATGACCAAGGAACAGGGCCGGATTAACATAGGGGCTGATGGAGCTGCAGCTCCAGGCCCATGGAATAGGCCCATTGATTTATAAAAAAAAATATATATATATATATATTTTTTTTTTACACATTTTTTTTTTTCACACACTACTCTTAGGGATTCCACCTGGCTTTTATTTTATTGGCACAGCCAGTATTTGAGGCTGCCTGGCTGGTGCCAATATTACAGTGATACTGGCAATACAAATTCTGGTATTTTTCTCAGTATAAACAAAAGATTACTATGCAATAGCAGCACTGGCCAGTAGGGATCACTGTGTGTGGAGACAGGCAGGGATAGGACGTTCCAGCATATCCCTCCCTGCCTATCTATACTCACTGATCTGCAGGGGTGCAGCTACAGAGTGTCCAGACAGCAACTCCCACCCTGCAGAGACAGCCTACAGCTCAGGGAAGTAAGGGATTGGGGGAAAGGCTGCAAGGAGAAATGGGGACACTGAGATAATAAGGGACATTGGGAGACATCATGACACAGACAAATGGGGACACAGTGTCCCCATGTCTCCCAGCCAGTGTCCCTGGTGTCTCAGTGCCCCCTAGTCTCCCAGTGCTCCCAGTCTGCCAGTGTCTCACTGTCCCCATGTCCCCTAGTGCCTCCATGTCGCCCAGTGCCTCAAGTGTCTCAATGTCCCCATGTCTCCAAGCTAGTGTCCCTATTGTCTGTGGCCTTGGTGTCTCCTTGTCCCCATGTCTCCCAGTGCCCCCATGTCTCAATGTCCCCATTTCCCCCAGCCAGTGTCTCTAGTGTCTGTGTCCCTGGTGTCTGTGTCCCCATGTCTTCAAGTGTCCCCTATTTTCCCAGTGTCCCCATGCGTCCCAGCCAGAGTCCCCTAGTCTCCCAGTGTCACTGGTGTCTCCGTGTCCCTAGGTCTCCCCAGGTCTTCCCGTCTTCCTAGTGACATGGGGACCCTGGGATACATGGGGACACACAGGGAGACATGGGGCATTGAGACACTGATGCATAGGAACACTGAGACCTGGAGTAATCGACACATGGGGGCACTGGGAGGAATCCATCTATACAGCAGAATCAAACTAAGTAGTTTTTTGGTGATTTTACAGCATTTTCTCTTATGTCACTCCTTGTGATTTACATCATGTAATGTCACCCATACATATTTAATTATGCAAATTAGCAAGGCCGGTATGTTTTTCCAAGAAAGGTGGCAACCCTAACTACTTTTCACATACTCTTACTTAAGTATGGAAACTTAAGAGGGATATATGGGAACACAACTTGTGTGGACTGGCTGACAATGAATATAGTTAAAGGGACACTAGAGTCACCAGAACAACTACAGCTTATTGAATTTGTTCTGGTGAGTAGAATCATTACTGTCAGGCTTTTTGCTGTAAACACTGTCTTTTCAGAGAAAATGCAGTCTTTACATTACAGCCTAGTGATAACTTCACTGGCCACTACTTAGATGGCTGTTAGATATCCTTCCTGGGTCATGGCTGCCTAAAATGCATGCAAACATTCAGTGTCTCCTCCCTCTGCATTCAGACACTGAACTTTCCTCATAGAGATTCATTGATTCCAGGGCTGTGTTTGAATCATGCTGGCTCTGCCCCTGATCTGCCTCTTTGTCAGTCTCAGCCAATCCTATGGGTAAGCACTGTGATTGGATTAGGCCACCACTTCTAATGATGTCAGCAGACTGCTTGTTTTTATGAGTCTAACAGCATGCAGAGTTACAGCTTCAGGCTTGAATACAGTAAGATTTTGCTATATTTATGGAGGCATGAGGGGCCCAGGGGGCTAGATGGTGGTGTTAACACTATAGGGTCATTAATTCATGTTTGTGTTCCTGACCCTATAATGATCCTTTAAGGTAATGTTGACTTTGGTCTCTCTAACAATGTGGCATGTTCCCTTTCTTCTACACTCACTACATACAGCTTCTCTATGTCCCAGACTGTATACCAGGAGCTTCTGCCTGCTAGTAAGAAGGTAAGGAGACAAGTGGACCAGCGAGTGCTAGGGGACAGTCCTTAGAAAGCGTTGAGCAAGCGCATCATTAGATGCATTTATGCCAAGCTCAAGGTGCTGTCTGCATAGTATGCCCTTAGTTGGCCAGCTGCATGATTGGCAGGCAGCCTGACATGCATTCATACCAGGCTGGCCTTCTAATTCTTTGGGCAGACATATCCTCTTTTTGGGCATATTCACCCCTTTTGGCAGGTTACGTGATTTGTGTCAGTGGCACACCCTTTTACCGTGCTCATTGACTTCCTGCTTGACTGGACACTGCTGTTAGGGGTTATGGATTTACTTGAAAGATGAAAACATAAATTAGTGAGAGATTAGCCTTAGGTATGTGTTTTCTTATAGCTGCTGTTTTCTTTCTCTCCAGCACCATCTCCATCATATACATGACGGTTGGGAGTGTTTTACTGTTTTTGGTCGATATGATTCTGTAATTAGGCCCATCATAATTGTCGAGCCCAGGTCCACTGAGCTCTTAATCTGGCCCTGCCCAGGAAGGATCTCTAACAGCCATCTGAGGAGTGGCCAGTGAAGTTATCACTAGGCTGTAATGTAAACACTGCATTTTCTCTGCTTACAGCAAAAAGCCTGATGGTAATGATTCTACTCACCAGAACAAATACAATAAGCTGTAGCAGGGTTTATAACGAAAGGTGCTCTGTGACCTCTGGAATTCATATAATTTTGCACGACTAAAGGACCATGTAACAGAGCTGCAATATTAAATCCCATGATCTCCGCTGGTTAAGAAAGTAATCCAAAGTAAAGCGCTGGAAAGTAAGGCAATATCCCAAATCCCCCAGTAACCGGACGAAACACAGTTCTGGGAGTCAACTGAGGTTTTTATTCACAGCATCCAGTATTTATGCAAGTCCCCATGCAAGGGGTTTCCCTACTGACATAGGGGTAACACAGTAGGGGACTACATGGGAGACTTAACATTCAGATCTTTTCTCCCATCAGGCACTGCTGCACGAGAGGGATACTCCCACTGGAATACAGCAGAACCGGCATTTTACATTTAAATCCATAACTTTAACAATACTTGGTAGATTTAAACGAATGGATGTTCGGTAGATAGCTGGGGTCTGAGTGCACAGTTCGTGAGAATACCGCTCAGATCCCAGCTAAAACAACCGCACGCCGCACGAAACACACTTTGCCATTGAGTTCGCCTCAAAGTACCGAACACCGATGGGGAACACTAATAGCGAAAGACCGGAGCTTCCGAACGGCCTGGAAGTCCAGCGGTGTTCGCGCCGTTGAGTAGCCGTTTTTAGTTCCACGCGCTCGACGACCAAACACCGCTGGGGAGACAAAGGATCCAAGATGGCCGACCGCCGCGTGGTCGGTAGCCGAACGGCGGCCACCTAGGAAAGCCTCTAATTACCGATTGCAACATTGTTGCAATCGGTAACGAGCGCCACACGTCCCTCTGTGTGTGGGCTATTAGGGGATAGCTCATTCAGTTCACGAACAGCCTGTAAAGTGGCTATTCATGAAACGAAACACATGAATGCTAGCGGCTTTCGGCTGCTAGCATATGAATTCAATACAAACATAGATTTCCACACAGTAAGCAGAATACATTTAAACAATGTAGTGCAGCAGTGTTCCGGACAACCTTTAAAGTCACAGCCATATAATCTGAAGTGGCTAGGTTTGCCACAGACCAGAATTGGGTAAACAAAAACAACTAGTCTAGACAGACCTAGGGACATTAAAAGTTTATAATAAGAGGTTGTAGTGCCTGGAGTCTGGATGTGCAACATTTTGCTTTGAAATGCCGCACATACAGAGAAGTAACTGTCTGCTGTTAGAGATGTACCTCCACCTCTAGCAGCGTCATAGGGGTGTCTTCAGCCAGCCCGGATCTAGAGTTCTTTGCTGACTAATGTTAATTCTGTGACACTCTCAGTGTTAAACACTGGGGCTTATGTGGCTCGCGTCACTGGAGCACAAAGAAGTATCAGAGCCCGGCAGGGATCTATTGCTAAACATTTTGCCCCACCGCTGCTGTAGTGGGTAGGATGCTTGCAGTAACTCTGAGCAGTAACATTGTCAATGTTATATTGAGTTTATAATTTGTAAGCATAATCTCTCCAATGCATTAAAAAATAGGGAGTTAACATCCACCCTGCAGTGTCCCTTTAATTTTTGATTGAAACATAACCTGCAGTTTTTATTACTAAATTAAAAACATCTAGTGTGAACAAAAAACTCTTCTTAAGTGACTGTTTTCTGCAGAGCTCAGAGGGAATTCTAGGTAAACCAAAACCAAACACTTGTATTCCCCTGATCTATCATAGAAGGTAATTAATACAAGGCAAGTATATTGTATCCAAGCCAAGATTAACATAACATTAAAATTACTTTGTCATATTTTTTATTTAACAAAAACATGGAATACCCATTCCCTTCTAGAAATATACATATGTGTTTATATAGTATCCAATATAGCATGTGTCAATCAAAATGACTGATCTGTCTAATCTTGAAAAGGCGGTTGAGGAGTCTGTAGAAAAAAAATCTCATGCTTAGCATCTCTCAACAATTTATAACAATATACTGAGTACCAGAAACCTTGTAAAAGGGGTGCAATCCCAAGAACAGCCTAGGATAATGAACTGTTTATTTTCTCTATAAGGATGCATCTGGAACAATTTACAATGTAAAAAATGCATAATAAAAGTCATACTTTGACACCAAAATTAGATAACTTTGAGACACATATACCATTCATGGAAAACCTTGGCAATCCAGATGGTTTTGAACATAATTTCTCATGATGCTCAGCCAGCCTGTAAGACTGCACTCACAGGACTTGGTAATAGTGTTCATACTTGTGCTTTATTGTGCCAACAGAGACAGATAAATTAAAAGGAGGGTGTCTAGTGACTTAGATAGTGGCTTATACTGTGATAGGTTACAACCCACCAGGGTGCAGGTAAACAAACCAGATTGTGTTCCAGCATAAAAGAATACAAATAATAATATTGAGAAAATAAATAGAGAATTAAGCACCCCATGCAAGTGAATAGTACTCCTAAAGATATATTGTGCCTTATACTTAACTTAATAGGCCTCCCCCTCTGATCTTGAAATGGTTAACCCCCCACTCTTTTTTTTTTTTACACCTACATTAATTCCAGTGGTGAGGTTAGGTCTTCTCCCTTGATGACACAGCAATTGTTGTACCCAAACGCATGCACACACATTAAAGTTCCCCTATAAGAAAGCACTATGCAATATGCGTTCCAGCTGACAGGCTGGTGCTTGCGGCCGGATCCGGCGAAACCGGAAGTGATTTACATGCCGGTCGCGAGCGTTTGGAACGCATGGCGTGCATTCCAGCGGTCTGCGTATTTAAACCCAGTGATACAGCTGTCTCTTCCTAGGCGCTGTATCAGCTGTTCAAGGACTTGTGTTTCGGCCCTGAGTCCCTGCATTTTCTCTTCTTGGCTGTTATTGCCTGGCTGCCTGGAGGAATCTTTCTGTCATTAAGGTAGGATTTCTGTCTGTTTTGAGCTGCTGGTTTGGAAGTTTGCTTTTCTTGTCAGCTTGCCTCTGCCTCCCTGTGGGAAATAGGTCTTGAATTTTCCTTTGATTCTCCTTTGTAGTATGGATTCTCCCTCTGCAAGATCCCTCTCTAGAAAACATAGGTGAGCCATTTACATTTTTTAATTGGGGGGGTGGAGCGTTGTTAAAAGAGTGCCAAACTAAGCCTGTAATATATGTCATATATGGCTTTATTCCAGCCCCAGCATACATTTGGATTCTCCAGCAAGAAAATCAAGGGAAAAATCAAATAAATGCATTGTTTGTCACCTGCTCCAAATGGAAGGAACCTTTGCAGGGAATGCTTGTTGGAAGTCGCAGATGCCCCCGGTAGGGGTTCCCCACAAGACGACCTTAAACTCTGGCTTTCCCAGGCTATTGCAGAGGGCTTTAAGGTTACCACGGGGTCTAGTGGTCCGAGTAAGAGACGCAGAGTGGAACCTCAGTCTTCCAGCTCTGATGAAGACCCTGATGTGTGGGAGGTCTCGGATGATGGTGAGGAGAAAGTTGAATATACCTCCAGGTCTCTTGACTCCAAGTCTATTGATAGACTTATTATCCTTCTCAGAGACCTACTTTCCCGGTACATTCCTCAATCAGGGACATGATCCTTCAAGAATGGAATAAGCCAGAAAGGAAGTCCACCTTGAAAAATAAATTCACAAGGATTTATCCGTACTCTGCAGTGGACTGCTGCCTGTGGAATTCAGTTCCTAAGATTGACGCTGCGGTGATCCATATGGCAAAGAAAACTACGCTGCCTATTTCCTCCATGGCATACCTCAGGGAGCCTATGGAAAAGCGTATGGATGGAGATCTGATTAAAGCCTATTTGGCCCTGGGATCCGCCCTTCATCCGGCACTGACCACTCTCTCCAGAGCCTTAAAAGTGTGGCTCGCTAATTTCAAGGTGGACATTGATCGGGGTGTCCGTAGGGAAAATCTCTTGGAGAGCCTCAAGGACTTTAGCCTTGCCACGGAATTCTGTTCGGAAGCCTCCCTGGACATCACTCGCATGATTGCCAAGAGCATCTGGGGAACTACCAGCTGTCTCGTGGTTACATTTATAGACCCCCCGACTACTCTTTCTGCAATCCGATATAACAACCCTTTTTCCCAGACCTACCGCTCTCCCTCTAATCCAGCCTGGTCAGCTATCACCCGATCCCTGTATACTTTTAACGTGAGATCTAGCTTAACCTCTTTCTCAAACTCAGTCGGGGTATCCCAGGTAACACGGGTCGTAGGAATGTCACTGTCTCTTACCTGAGCCTCAGAGTGCATGGACGGAGCCGTGGTGCGAGCCTGTTGCCGGGTGGTCACTGGGTGGGCCTCTTGTAGAGGAGCCTGGGGTAAAAAGGCGGAAGTCATTCGGCCCAGGTCGTTCCCCAATACGACAACTGCCGGCAGTTTCTGCATCATGCCCACCTCTACCATCCCCTCCCCAACACCCCAATTCAAATGTACTTTCGCAGTGGGCAATCTGTATACGGCTCCCCCTGCTACTCGCAC